CGATTGCTCTGGCCAGGCCACCATATATTTAAAAAGCGTTACCGTAGTAGAAACAAGTGCCTTACTACTAGTAACAAAAAGAATTTAATTAGAATTGTAATTACTAGCAAAGGGATCTACTAGGACCTTTTCGCGCGCGCGGGGGTAGGAACAAGAACGCTACTAGGGTCTCCTGGCCTTACTACTAGGAGCAAGAAGCTAGTAGGAACAAAGGGCATCTCTACTAGGAACAAGAACGTTAGGAGGCTACCCTTTGAAGAAACATGGCAATGCGCTGACACGCCCCCGTTGCTTGGGTCTTGGTCCGTTTCTTCACTTTGCCAGAGAGGGGCCGTCCATGAACATGGAATTGAGTCATGTCTTCTGGACAGAAACATGTTTGGGATGTTTGCAAAAAGAGCTTCTTCTGGAAATACGTTGTATTGTTCTTATGTTTTTCTTCAAGAGAGATGTTGGAACAACAACATCGTTTGAAGAAGCCACTGGCCACCGGCACCGCACCCGTGGTAAGATGTTCACTCACCATGTTCCCCATGTCCGATCTACCCAAGCTGCCGAATCCCTCCAAAAGGGCTTCGCGCTTGTGGACCACATGTTGAGGAAAGGCATTGATAGCCACCCCAATGACCAAATGCAACCTCCTCAGTCCCTCAAAAAGATCCCCCAGATGGGGAAGAGGCTTAGAATCTGCCTGAGATGAAATAACAACTTGCCCGTGCAAGCATCCTTCTCACACAACTCCAACAAAAACCGCCGTCTCTTCCTGGTCGCCCTCTCTGTCCATGAACTCTTCATTCCTTCCTTCGTTACGGCTTTTGGGCTCCACGGCACTTTTTTGGATCCAACTCGCACCACCTGTGGCGGCTTCAAGATGTACCGCTCCTTGGTACCTCAGGCCGATGACGAAGAGTCTGCTCCATCGAGCTGCATTTGGAGCAAACCAAACAGGCACGAAGTCCAAAACACCGTCAACACAATAGCGTTGGAAGAAGATCCTGACGCCTGTCCTCTGCTCTCCTATCATCTCCTATCTAGCTATACGAATGAGTGCATTCTCAACACCCACATGGGTGTCTTTAAAGAATGAATATTGCAAAGTCATCCCAGTTTCGAATCATTCTATCGACCTTTAAATGGGCATTGAGGACATTTTCCAATACGCGAATGCCCTGGACTTGAGGTTGACTCAGTTCACAAGGTTTTGTGTATGTGGTGAAAAAGCGCCTAAAGCTCTAAAGCACTTGCACAGCAACGTGGAAGACCAAGTACCTCAAATAAGATCTATCTTTGCTCAACCTGATCTTGTCTGCGCCAAATTGAGCCACCCCGTAATAGGAGTCTTTGCATTTGCATATAGTCCAACCCTTTGAGTTTCCAAAAAACTAGGAACCAAATCATTAGCGCGAGCTATCGTGCGTCCTAGGTATTAGCTTACTTGCAGGTAGTACAGTAGCAACCTCAATCCGGCGCCTACTAGTAGGGCGGGGGGGAGCGGGCTGAACATGTAACCTTCTTTCAAGATACTTCGCGTCACCGTGCGGCGCTCACCGTGGGACCCCAACAAACGAACACACACACAGACCCCCTTGAGCCGTCCGTGTGCTCGCCGTCGTCCCAAAGGCCGGACGGGTACGACTGTCGTAGCTGCCAAGCGTCCGACAGTCGGGTTGTGCTCCTCGATGATTTTGTACAACCGCATGAGCAAATCGGCATAGTCGTGCAAGGGCCCGGGTGTCCAATCATCTACACCTGCCGGTTCGGCGCATGGGCATCATGGGCATGGTCGAAAAAGGGGCCCAGGCCTGAATTGCAAGGGCTTTAGGGGCTATGGAAGACTTTTCCCAAGAGCTTGCCCAGCGTTTTTCCGCAGCTTTGAGTGACGTTTCCAAGAAGCATCCTGAGATCTGCAATGGCAGGGAAGAAGTCGCCGCAACCGGTTCCATTTACCATGCAACAGGATGGAACTTTTTCTCAACAAAAAAGACTTTTCCGAAAGGGTTCCACCTCGCAGATACAATCGTCCACTGTAACACCTCGCAAGCGATAATGATCTGCAAATTTTTGTGTCACATGTCCATATTTGACCTGTGAAGTGGCAGGACTTGTTAGAAGGAACATCGTCCTGCCACTGACCAAAGAGGTCCCCATGTCCTACCGGTTCAACGGTGCTGTTTGAACCAATTCTTGTTAACACTCTCATTATCAGATACAGTATTGTTCCATTCTGATCAGCGCTGATCAAGAATCAACCAACACCCTGGGGGTTCCTGTCCTGTTTCAAGAAGAGAACCTGTCGCTTCCACCACTGTGAACCTGCGCAGTCCTCGGTTTCGACCCCTTCGTCCGCACCTTGGAGCTTCACGTCACCCTCCTGCGCAACGCACCGGAGCAAATCGGCCGTGACCACTGCGGCCCCGAGGTTTCCTCATTTCCAAACACACTCCATTTGGAGGTCCCACCGCAGATGGATTGGCTTTTTCGTCCGTTTTTGGTCGGTCCCACCCGGGCCAAGCCCCAAAACGCCCCGTTCTCTTTTATGCGATCGGATGACCCAAAGATTCAAGAGTCCGATGGGATCGGATGAGACATGCGCTTCACTTGGACCCATCGGCGAAGGAGTCGACCTGTTTTTTGGCTTCTCTTCGGTCGACCCAGCTGACGTCGAACAAGAAGCGTCCGTTAGCGCAGCTAGAGAGGCCAGAAGCGTGCGTCCGTAGTTTCTCTCCACCATTGACGTGGAGATGGGTCTCCCCATGTCCTGTGGTTCATCCTCCTTTTCAGCCTTCTCCTTCTTCTCCTGCCAAGCTCGCCAGTCCAACATGGATGTGAGGAGAGCTCGGACCAAACATCAAAGACTCCTTTAAGATCAAATCTCCCAAAGCTTCATCACCCACTCAGCAATTTGTGCCACGAGCTTGCTACATGACTTGTCTTCCTACCTGACTTGTCACCGAAAGTCTGCAGGCGGACGGCAGCTCTCTGCCCGCTCGCCGTGGCATCGTTCTGCGGCGGGGCGGTCCTTGCTCTTCTTCTTCTTTTTGGTTCCGAAGTCAAAGACCTGCCGAGCCCAATCCGTGCAGAACACGGCGGGGCACGCGATGGGTATGGATATACAGATGGATGGGCCGTTGCCAGCAGGTTGGAGGCCATCGCTTCTAGTTAAGCTTCCCTTAAAAAAAACAGGAACCAAATGAATAGAAGCGTGAGCTATCCTGCGTCCATATGTAGTAGCTTTCTTGTAGGTACTAGCTACCTACCTTGCTACTACCTTTTCCTCTTACCGGCCTACCCTCCTCAGGCAAAAAAAATAATTCGCTCTGGATCATGCGGGTGGGCCTCAGGCTCATGCAAAAAGCTGGTCACCCTAGGCCACGTACTTCTGATGACTCAGTTTACATCAATTTTTGTTCCTTTTCGGTGCACGACACCCAACAGATTTGGATCTGCCACAGCGGCTACAGCGACGTTGGATTTCCGTTCTGGAACAGCTCCAAAGGTGTTTACTTTAGCTGATTTTGTATTTTTGACCTAAACGCGGGGGACCCTGGTTGACCACCAAAAATGAACAGAATAGACCCTGGTTCAGGGCTCCGGGTTTAGGGCTACCGCAGCCATTTGCCATTTTTTGTAGAGGACTGCGACCGTAGCGGTGCGGAAACTTCAGTCAAGGAATGTCGTGCGGTGGGTTTTCTGGTGCACAACAGCAAGCAGGCTTTGACTGGGCCGATGAACGAGTGGTTTTGGCATCGATGTGCGGGCATTCCTTCCACTTCGTTTCGCAAGGTCTCTGACTCCGATTGAGCCAGCCGTAATCTTTCACCGAAACGGGCCAATCGTGAAACGGACCAACACCGATCGCTCCGTCCTCGTGAGACTGGTCCATGATTCTGGAGATCGGACCGTCCTAGACGGTCCACAGTAATGTCAGTGCCCCCCAAACCAACGGTCTCCGGTACCTGCCTCTTCCCCCTATTACATCTGCCATTGCGTTCACCTTGACTGGGTCCCATCTCGTCACCGCTCCACATGCTCCGGGTCTGCGCGTCTGCGCAGCCTGCTCTTCTTCGTCACCCATGGTGCCGCTGGCGCCCCAAAACCGTGAAAACACGTCGGGTCTGGAGCCAAAAAGATATATCGTTTCTCGAATGGATATTGGATATCGCCAGCTGGCAAATTGAAGCGACAGCTAGGGTTCGGTTTGATGTTTTCATATTTTTCCCCAGATAGCGACAGCTATGGGGTTCTTACTTCAACAAAAAATGAGCTCGCTGCGCGCGCTTTTGAGACAGGGTGCCGGTGCCGGCTGCTGGTGCTGGCTGTGGTGCTGGTGGTGGGTGCTGTGAGCTGGCTGTGCGCCGGTGCTGGGTGCCGTTGCTGGGTGCTGGGTGTGCGCGTGGTGGAGACTGGGTGCCGGTGGTGCTGTGAGCTGGCGTGCCGGTGCTGGTGCTGGCTGTGCGCGTAGTGGAGACACGCCATGCTGTATTGCGGCGTTTTTTCCCAGTGTAAAAAAGGTTCCTGTGTGTGCTTTGGAGCTACCGCCAACTGGTGTGATTTTCCGCTATCCCCTCCATCCAAGTGTGACCTCACTAGTGACTGAATCGTTCCCAACCCATCAAACCCACCAAATGCCTCGGCTTAGCCACAAAGACTATATCCTCCTCTGTGCCCACCAAACCGTCATCAGCGCGAAACACGCAGATAAGGGGTGTTGACCACCCGACCTTTGTCCACCGACCAACTCGCCCCCACGGTCCATGTCTGCGACTCAACCAGCACTGCAGTCGAGTCGAGTAAAAAGAAAGACGACTTGATAGTGTGTTTTGGAGGAAACGAGGCGTGGTGACGAAAACAACGGACTCTCGTCTGCAGTTTGCGGTTCTGGGGATCCTAGTTGTTGGATGACTGGCTCCTGGCCTTACTACTAGGAACAAGAAGCTACTAGGGGCTCCTGGCCGTACTACTAGGAACAAGAAACTACAAACAAGATGTGGGCATATGTGGTGAACGTTCAAAAATTGACTGGCTTGCTGCGTTGTTGCATCCAGTATCCTTTCCAACCCTTTGTCAGACCTTGCCAAAGTCATTTCTTTCAACGAACCTCATTCGTGTGTCTTTCACCAAGTGAAACACAATGGAACATTTTCGCAACAATGCCGATGTTCTGTGTCACCTCTGAGTCACATTTGCGTGGTAATCATTTCCAAGCTCTTCCTAAGCACCCAGCTAGATGCCATCACAACGGGGCAGCGGCTGCCGTGCACCTTCCTGAGCGACTCCGACGTGCTCTGAGTGAAATGGTTGACTCGATCACGAACCGCTTTCAAAAAAAAACTATGGCTGTGTTGGCTCGTCCCATCTTCTATCTGCCTGAGGAAGATGTTTTCCTTCTTAAACCAGCTTTCAGCCCCTGGCTGGCTTGATTCCTGGCGCGATCTCTCCAGCATCGTTTGTCGCTTGTACCGACCACCGACCTGCGGCGGTTTTTCTTCGCTTTTCTGATCTGGCCGGAATGAACGTCAGCTGCCCCTAGCTTGAGCAAACACATAGCTCAATCTACAGTGCACCTCGTTTCTTCAGGGATTTCTTCCATGAACGGAAACAACAAAGGAACAACATCCAATTCCAGTAGATTCAGTAGATCGCTTTGCGTCCAAACCGGGGGCCGTCCCAAACTTGTGCTTCTATATACATATGTTCAAGTCTTCAGCCTTCAGGCCGCTGTCGGACCTCCTGGCAACTCTCACAAAATGGCTTAGACGTGCTTCGTCTTGCTTTCCCCTCAAGAGCTTATCCAACATTGCTGGCGCCACACATGCCATGACTTGATGGGTCTCCAATGCCATGGGGACTTCAAGAAAGTCTTTCGTAAGCGCAGGAGGTCCTGTTTCTCTTATCCAAATCGTGAACATGTGCTGTCTTCAGCCATCAGTCCGCTGTCGGACCTCACAAAAAGTTTTTTGGCAAAATTCGGGAACAAGACTTTCGTCACGTCAACCGAACATATGCAATATGCCCAAGTCGAGAGTCTGCAGGCTTCAGTCTTCAGCCCGCTGTTGGACCTCCTGGCAACTCTGACAAAATGGCTTATATAGATGTTCAGTTGTCAATACGTGCGTCATCAATTCCCCTCAAAAACTCGTCAGCAGGTCCTGGGAGTTAAAGAATCCGTGCACCAAATTTTGCTCAGCAGTTCTCAATAGTTCTGTGCTTTCCAGCCTTGTTGCTTGGAGTTCCTACCTCCACTTCCCCAAAACTTGACACCAACTTCCCCTGGTTTCTGGAAGTAACGGTACTTGGAAGAGTTGGCTTGCTGCATCACCGGAATTGTGGGCAAAGGGGGGGGGGTTCAGGCGGTTCAGGTCCATTGAGATCACAGCGTCGTAGGTGAGCCTCAAATCGGTCTGCCACTGCCCATAGCCCAACAGGAACTCAAAGGTGACTTCCTCGTCCAGGTTCACCTCCAGGCTCTCATCAGCCTCATCCTCGTCATCCTCTTCTTCGGTTTCTTCCACGAAGAATGGTCCCCTGATGACATCTTTTGAAGGCTTGCAGAACTTGGACACAAGCGTGCCCAAGCCCTCCTTGTAGACAGTCGCCAGGCCCATGCAAGCGCAGGCCGCAGGGATCACAAGGCCCAAGCCTGGCAGCACGCTGTCAAGCTCGAGCATGCTGCACCAGCCACCGACGACCCCCAGGGGCAGGAAGGTGGTCACCAAGTCTTCAGTGCTGAACCCCATGTCACTACAGTTCATCTCCTTCAACACCTGGAAAAAGCTGCGGCCCAGCACTATTCGCTTGGCGATCGCCTCCAAGTCCCTGGTGTTTGCTCGTTGATCGCAGGCCTCCAAGAGCTTGTCCGAGTTTTGCATCAGCAAGCACACGCAAATCCGCCGCAGCTCTCGAAAAGGGTCACTCTCGTCCACTTTCACCTTGAACAGCACCTTAATGAGTCTCTGAAAGTTTCCCATGTGCTGCGGCCGGGGATCCCAACCAAAGCAGAAGAAACTCCGCAACCACTGATCTACGATCTTCACGAGACTTTCCTCAAAGCCTCGTTGTCTCAGGGCGGCAAAGGTGACTGGGCAAAAATGCCGGTAGCTCCTCAGCACCTGACGGGCCTGCTCCTGACTGCGTTGCTGCCCATGAGTTTCGTCGTCAACCTCGGGCCGCAGCAAGCGCTTCCAATAGAACTTCTCTAACATGCGGATCAGCAATGCATAGGTCTTCATCTCCGACTCCGTCATGGCCAACAAATTTGAAGAGAAGATGGTCAGATCATTGTCATAATCAAGGTACTTGTACTTCTTATAGAGTGCAAGGTGTACTCGTCGAAGTTGATGGCGAGCACCGATGAAGGCGTAGTTGGGATGTTTCAGCTGAAAGTGGTGGGCTTCCCCTCCATAGACCTGACCAATTGGGCCATCCAACGCCAGGGCGCGACCGAGGGTAATTTCCACTGGTACCACGTGAGGGCCTACTCGGTCTCGCTTGTAGTCTGTGCAGGCATCATGAAAACCGGAGACCAAATCTGCCCAGCAAAACTCAAGATTGTTTTTTTTGGTGAAGCTGCCGCGTTCCGGGACCTTGAACTTCTCCTGCAACTTTCCTGAGACTTGCCCCTTCTTTTGACTTAGGATGGTCTCGATGGAGTCCAGTTTGCCCTTCATTGCACAAGCCATGTTGCCCAGAGACGTTTGCAGCTGGGTCTTCAGAATGTTTGTTACCTACTTTTAAATGTATAGAGATCTAGGCCCCAGGCTACTGAGCCAGTGAACTTGACTATAATAACCGTTCCATGAGATAGATTGCACCTTTGAATTCCAACACAGCCAAAACTTCGAACGCGAACAAGCTTGGCTGAGATTTTGGAGCAATCATGCCATCACCCCACAAGGCCATTGTCCATTTGGAGCCAGGCGAAGCAAAAAGAAAAGAGGCCACAGGGTGAACAATCATGGGACAAGTGCTTTTTCCAGTAACATCTCCGCATGAGCAACATCGTCCACGTCTTCAGCCCAGCGGCTTCCCTTGCTGCAGCAACGCGGCCACGCCCGAGTCCCATGGAGCTGCCATGACGCCTGTGGCCACGCCTGGTGCCGGACCGCCACAGCGCCAGGTCCGAGGGCAGAAATCGAAACAACAAACACGGGCAAAAACATCGAACATGGTACAGGCAACTGACCATGAAATCATCGGAAAATCCCATGCGGGGACGAGTGACTTGGTATGACATGGTCCTTTCCCTGGACATGAGGAGTTGAGGACATGAGGCGCTTTGTGTATGATCAACATAGATTTTGTCGCAGATGTTCCACGTGTGTCCTGTAGAGGTCGAAAGGGCGCACAAGGTTTGAGCACGAACTGTGCAGGTTGTCTGCGCCCAGTCTGCACAGTTCTGACAGGGGAGCTTCCATCAGCTAGCCGCGAAGCAAGCCACTGATTTTGTATCCAATGTTTAGTCCGAGGTCCAAGTAGTTAAGTGCACCTACATCGAAGCTGAAACGAGTCAAAGTCCTGAGTCCTCACCTACTAAATACAAAAATATCTTAAACAACACCACCTGTTCTTGTCCATGCAGCCAAAATATTTTAAAGGTGCCATAAGGTACCCTTCTTAGGACCTGAGTGGTGTTTCTGATCCACCGATGCGAGCTGCTACATTCCACCCCGCATCATCGTCCTCACCTTCTGCCACTTGGCGGGTTCGGTGGTCAGCGTTCCCAGCAAGACCACCTCGTCCACCATGTGCAACTCGCCCATGTCATAGAGCTTGCACCTCGTCGGGACGCGTTTCGCTCAACGCGCCAAAAAGGCAGAAACACGCCTGGAAGTTGGGACTGAGGAGTGAGATCTTGTTGAAGTATCGACCTGGAAGAAGGAATTTTGGGGATCCTTCAGCTATAGAATTCTATAGATTTAATATATAGTCAACGGGAAATTATACCTTTAGCACATCCCAAAAGAACAAGAGGCATAATCGTACTGGTAGTGTCTTTTTGAAGCTAGACTGTTTCTTGCTGTACGTCCATCTTAATCTTGTAATGTGCTTTAGTGGTGTTTCTCCAAGAGTGGGCAATCACTAAGGGACCCATAGGAGAAGCCAGCGCTGCAACACAATGGTGTGGGCCTCTTTCTTTCCAGTGGGGCAACTTTTGCTAAAGTCAACCAGCGTCTTTATCATCTTTCATGGGCCGCCCCTGCGCATCCTCGATGTCTCAAGTGGAGGCTCTCTTCTGGAAGCATCCGAGGACATGACTTGCGCGTCTGAACCGTCAGAATTACCGGATGCCCCGGGCAAGCAGTGGACCAAACGCCGAGCACCTCGGATCGCGGAATCAACGGATCGCGGTCAGCAGATCGCGGATCTTAGGGTCGATCCCGAATCGTTCCGTCGCTGCGGAGCCGGTGAAAGAGGTCTTTCGGTGGCAAACGGGAAGAGCAAAGGATGCCTATCCGGATGGCTTTGCGTTTGGCATGTGCAGATTCATGATCTGAACAAAGTATAATGGTAATTGTAGTAATGTAACCATTGGCCGGTGACCTACTGCTCTTTTGGGCGGTGACTTGAACAATTCGTTTTCAGCCGAACTCGCAAATGCGGCACATTTGGCAATATCAACTGGTCGAAAGGCACCTGACAACTTTCCAGGTTTTGGTTCTACTCTTCCTATAGTTTGACTGTTTACACTTGCGAAGGCCGCAATTTTTTCGGGTCTTTATGCAATCTCCACGAATGCATCAGAGTGCACCGGGGAGTTTGCAGTCTTGAGGAAAGGTCCAACAACTACTTTGCCAGGAGTCTGGAGGTATCAGCCAAAAGGAATAGAACTTATATCATTATAATGTCAAACAAATAAGAACACACCGCGGTGTTTTTAACATGCTTGCCAGCAACCCCACCTTATATATTACATTTACTCTCTCCTTTCGGCGTCACCAGTCACCATCGACACATGCTGGGCGACCCGACGGGCCCGTCTGCCTCGCATCCACCGCAGGATCCGGGTGCCAGGAGAGTATCCATATGACCTGAACTAGGGCCGAAATTTCTGGGGTACCCATGGCATGAACTGATTGCTCCTTATAGGGGTAGGGGTCCCTGGGTCCCTCTGGTGCTGGCGGTGAAGCTGGCCGGGGGCCGAAGCCGCAGGAAATAGTGCTGCTGTGCTGTGACATCCAGCTTGTGTTTACAGCAGTTGCAGGGCTGCATGCAAACACATTGCCCCTGAATAAATCGCAACAGCAAGTCCAATGAAACATGTGACTCACCTTACCAGCTTCAGTTTCCCACCAGCTTCAGGTCGTGAACCATTGAGACATTGGGCCCAAGCCTCTTCACTGATTGAAACCAGCTGAAACCTGCAACATCATCCCAGCCTTCTCACCTCAGCTCGTCGACAAACCCATTGACTCCAATCGTTTCCGGAGTGCCTCCCGAACGCAGCGAGCAGCGCAGCTGCAGGTGGGTGGAGGGTGGCTGTTCCGGTGACCGGTGCGGCGGCTCATTCCGACCTCTTCGGCAATTCCTGGTGACCACAGGTCAGCGGTGTGGCACCATGCTCATGCCCATTCTCTCTCTCTCTCTCATTCTCTCTCTTCATCGATTGAAACCATTCGGCGCCCCAAAAACCCGACCTCTGGCTGTAGGCACTCATCATAGATGGCCTCCCAGGCCGTTTAAGCTGTCGGTCACCACCAATGACTCACCCACACCATCGGTGATCACCATCGGTGTGTTTTGCTCTCTTGGCACGTCCGTCAGGCGCGAACTCCCATCCCAGTCTGCAAATGCAACGCTGCGTTCGGCATGACTCTTCATCTTCGTTTGGTCTGACTCCCGCCCCGGAAGACGCAAAAAAACACATGGATTTCTGGATTCATGGACGGGAAGAAACTGTCTTTTCGTGAACCGCCGATGAACTTCTGTTCCAACAAGCCTTACACTCGGACGAACACATCACATGGAAGTGGATGGCATGGCCCCTGTGAAGACTACTTTCCTCTACACACATGTGGTTTTTCCATTTCCATGTGACGTGTTCGTCGGAATGTAAACACATTGCTTTGATCTCTAGACATCTCTAGACCCTACGTATGGCCCATTCTGTTGCTTTCTCTTTACGGGTTTCCGCAGCATCGTCTGCCCCAAACCTCCAGATCCTCGGCCGCGGATGGGACTGGCTCCTGCAGGCCAGAGCCTCAAGCGCAGACGATTTCCTGTGGAAAGAAGTTGAGGAAGAACGGGCAGCACATATGGCTTAGCTACAAAGTATGAATCAGGTCACCAACTCGGATTGGGCCGACCTGTTAGGCAAGACCAAGGGCCACCATCGAGTGATCCAAACTAACGATCGCAACCACGGAATATCTGTGAACATCGATGCTTCGTTCATGGCAGTATGGAATTGTTTGTTCGATTGGCCCAGTATAGACAGGACTCAAGAAATGCAAAGGATCTACGGATTGTGGGAGCAACTGACTGATCATCTGACTGTTGATGGGCAGCGTTCCACCACCTTTGCAGTTCCAGCAAACCCCATTTCACAATCCGCATTCCCCCATACGGCGGATCTGGTGCCCGGAATGACGCCCTTTCAGAAGGTGCAGGTGCCCTGGACCTGCAAACCCTCAAATCTGAAGCCAATCTTGAAGGAATAACTTAAGCCTCTTCAGTGCTCTCATGCTTGTTGGGACTCTTGACTGGTGCGAGAAAAAGAAACACATATGGAATGGATGAACATTCCAGAGTGAACGGACCATATAGAGCTTCCTGGGATGTACATCCTATGGATAAAATGTGTCCGGTTTGGTTTTGATAGCTGCAGGGTTGAAGAATGAGAGGAGCTTGTGTTTTGGTTCGATTCGACAATCACTGAACCGGTGTTCAGGCCCAACATTGGCCCAAGCTCCAAATTCCTGGAGTGTGTTTTCAACACATCGAGGGCAAAGCACCACACAATCCCTTATATTTCCTTTTCACATCTCTGCATGTCCGTCGAGAAATAACCCAACACATCGCAACTCACCTCTGCTGCCGGTCACTCATCTTTTTGACCTCCTTTTGGACCAAACCGGACCCAACAGCCACGAAAGCAAGCCCAACAGCGACCCGTTTCCCGCTTCCGCTCCGCCGTGGCCGAGGAGCGTTGCAAGTAGCTCAGGGAGATGGACGTCACCGACGCGTTGGCCGCCACCGGCCTGGACCGTGACGCCCGGACGGTGGGGAAGGACGTCGCGAGGCGAGACATCGAGAGGTGTGGGTGGAAAGTGAAAAGGATTTTTGAATACCTATCCCCCAAGGACGTGGAGAACACTTCCAAGGGGCCAAGGACTACGAGGCCTCGACTTGTCGCACTTGATCCAGGAACCGAGAGGTCGTTGCGACGGGACGCCCCGTCTGCCGGGGTGGTAGTAGCATCGCCACTCGAACGGAGCGTTCGGACGCGACGATGGCCCGGGGCGAACCTGGCCTTACTAGGAACAAGGTACGCTACGAACGGAGCAAGTGTGGAGGGTCTTGGCCCAACGAAGTCTCCGTTCTCTCTCCAACGCCCCGTGACAACCATTGGTCGACCGATTCAACAGCCAAGTGGGGGCCGGTAGGCCGTACCAAGAGTGACCTTAAATAGGACCCGCAACCTGGGGTACCGAACTGGGACAGCCTATAGGGTTCTTCAACCTAGGCCCTTTTACTTGTTGGGCTTTCCTGGGAAGTCATCGCCAGCCCATCGTCCGAGGGGGGGACGGCGTAGTGATTGGTAGTGTCACGCTAACCAACCCAGCAGTTCACAGCCCCAAGAACATGGTCAGGATGTGAGCCTGCCTGGTGTTGAAATGACAACAAAACTCCCTGCGAAAAACATCACAAACTGACAAATCAATCATCCTGGCTTCGCAGTAATATTGCTGTGGTTGACTCACGGGCATCCGCACTCCTCTCGGTGGTCGCCGTATCATTAAAAAATGAAGATAGCCTAGCAGG